GTTTTTAATACTTGACTTGCTTTTTAAGGGGCGCCTGGGTGGCTTAGTCGGTTGAGCGTCCGACTTTCACTCAGGTCATGATCCCGCGGTTCGTGGGTTCGGGCCCCGCGTCGGGCTCTGTGCTGACTGCCGGCTCAGAGCCTGGAGCCTGTTTCAGTCTGTGACTCCCCCTCTCTCTGACCCTCCCCTGCTTACGCTGTCTCTCTCTCTCTCCTAGGAATTAAAAAAAAAAAACTTGACTTGCTTTATGGATTATTAAACATATAAAACCATAAAGTAAAAATTAAAATTAAAAGGTTGTGAAATGCAACTCCAAACCACAATGAGACACCACCTCACTCCTGTCAGAACGGCTAAAATCAACAACACAGGAAACAACAGGTGTTGAGGACACGGAGAAAGGGGGACCCTCGTGCACTGAGGGTGGGAATGCACACTGGTGCAGCCGCTCCGGAGAACAGCACGGCGTCCCTCAAGAGACTAAAAAAGAACCACCCTACAATCCAGGAATCGCACTACTGGGTATTTACCCCCAAAATACAGTAGCACTGATTCAAAGGGGTGCATGCACCTGTCCGTGTCTAGCAGCGTTAAGTACAAACTGTGGAAGGAGCCCAAGTGCCCACCGATACACGAATGGATAGACGAGACGTGCTGTGTAGACACACGATGGAATAGTACTCAGCCGAGACATGGATGGGTCCAGAGTATAACGCTGAGCGAAATAAGTCAGTCAGAGGAAGACGAATATTATATGATCTCACTCGTGTGTGGAATTTAAGAAACAAAACAAATGAACAAAGCGGGGAGAGAGACAGACAGACAGACAGACTTAACCCTGGAGAACACACTGCTGGTCACCGGAGGGGTGGGGGTGGGGGGAGGGGGGGTGTAAGGAGTGCTCCTGCCATGATGAGCACGGGGTGACTGTATTGTACACCTAAAACTACCATAACACTGCACACTAACTATATCGGAATTAAAATAAAATAACACATAAGAAAGTAGGGATCATAATTAAAAGTAAATAAATCAGAAGCATCCCTTTGTGAATCCGGGGCCAGGCCCGCACTGAGGGATGCAGACGGGTGCCCCTCCCTCCACCAGCTCCCCCTCCTCCCCACCCCCTACCCGGCTCCTGTAGAATGTTCTGGGGAACTGAAAGCCATTCGAGAAGGCTCCTTCGAGGATATAATTCCCCTCTATGTGGGACCCTCCTGTAAGACAGCTGCGCGGGGAACGCCATAGCTCAGAGGAGGGGACAAGGGACAAGACTGATTAATTATGCTCACAACTGTCCCCTTCTCCAGACAGGAAGGAATAGTGTCAGACATGGCTCTTACTCCCCAGGGGGTAGCGTATACAGCGGGTGCTGCACCAGCGTCTGGAGACAGAGAAGGAAGAGGAGAAGGGAGAAAGGAGGCGAGAGAGCCAGGAAGGAGGAGAGGGGAACGGAGCGGGCCAAGCTCCAGCTCCCCCTGCCCGAACGTCCTTCCCTCTGGCCCAACATCCGACCTACAGGGCATTTAAAATGCTCCTTCCACTCGCAAAAAGGCTGCATTTGGAGAGGCCCACGCGCGGGCGTTTCCTCCTTGTTCAAGGTCTGTGTGATGCCCTGAGTATCGTCGGGTTAAGTCCGGCTCTCAACATCCTCCCGCGTGAATCCCGCCCCGGGGCCCGGATGCGCCCCCGGAGCAGGGGCCCGCCAGGTGCTCTGTGCCCCCCAGGCAGCCCTGGCACCTCCCTGGGCACCGATGTCCTCCGTTCTCGCGCCAAATGCAACGCAGCCAATACGGCTTTTTTTTTTTCATTTGGCTGTGCCTCTGACTTCCTCTTCTTTAATTTTTATATTAGGCGTTTCTTGAGGACAGACTGATGTCACAGGGACTCTTTCCAGATGTTGTTTTGAAATCAGCGTAACCATGACATTGCTGGAGGCTGAGGAGCGCGTCTGGGCCAACGGAGCCGCGCCGGGTGCAGGGCGGGGCAGGAGCCGGGCGGGGGCCAGAGTGTCCCGGGAGAAGGTGGGGCACGGCTGTCAGTCAGTGCTGAGGCTCCTTCAGGAAGGACCCCAGGACCCCAGGACCGGCTGTCACCTCTGACCTCCATGCCCTGGCACTTTTGATACGGGACCTGCTCAGACCCTGAAACCCTCGCTTGCTCAGAGTGCGCCCGGGGAAGGCTCGAGGTCCCCTGTCTCCTGAGAAAGAAGCGCAAGAGCTCGGGTTCCAAGCTCGCCTGCGGCCCTGTCTCCGCCCGCCCAGTTCATCCTTGTCTCTGATGCAACTCAACAGTGCACAGCACCCCTCCCCGCCGCAGCAGAGGCACCCCTCCCCTACCTGTGGCAGGTGCACCCCTTCCCCGCCTCTGAGCCTCCGCTGATGCCCCTCTGCCTGCTCACACCACCCCCTGTGATCTGGGCTTCCTTACTTGGATATCCTGCCTTCCGCAGGCACCCCCTCCAGGGGGCCCATCTGCAGACAGAGCTGCACATCCATCCGTGTTCCCATGACCCCCCCTCATGTGTGCACCCACACCCTGAAGCAGGACACTCGTGTGCTATCCCTGCGTCCAGGAGCACCATGGAAGCTGCCGCTCATGCACACTCCCGGCCCGGGGGAGGCGCTCCGTCAGCGCTGCTCGATTCACTAGGTACTTAATTACGCAGTGACAGTCGGTGTCCCCTCCTCCAGCAGAAATTGTAATAATCGTAATCATACTTACTAAGCAATCACTATGTGCACTGTACTCTCTTAGGTGGATTTTCTTATGTAAACACTTATAACTTAATCTGGATAAAAAGTCACAGGAGCTAAACAATGTTAACATTCTCCATTTAATAGTGCAGAGGAGAGCTCCTCTGCCGGGCGGGGCCGCACCCCTGCTCCGCTTTCCGGGTTTGCCCATCCTTCTTAGAGTAAAATTCCAAGTGTGGCCTGGCTGCCACCCGACTTCATCTTCCGCCACCTCCCGTGCCCGCACCCCCCAGGCACACCCTTCTCCTTGCCGCTGCAAATCACTCTTTCCTTTGTGACTTTGCACATGCTGTTCCCTCCACCTGAAATGCTCTTCCCTACCTGAAATGTTCGTACGACTCCCTCATCCACCTCTTCCCGGTCCCTGCCTGCATGTCACTTCAGAGAAGGCTTCGTGGTCACTGTCCCAGAAAGGGCAGTGAGCTCTCCGCGTCACCATCTCCCGTTCCCGCGTGAGATTTCCTCGGAGCCCATCGCTGTTTCGTGTCACATCACAAATCAGGTGCTACCATCTGCCCCCCGGCCAGAATGAGAGTTGGGTGAGGCCAGGGACGGAGCCTGTGTGGCCCACCCCCCAAACAGGGCCTGGCGTAGGTCGGTGCTCCGTGAGCGCTGAATGTGCGATACCCAGGGCCACACACGCCCCCTCTCTGGGAGCCCCTGCAGCCCTTCTTGATCCACTTTGCACACGACCTGAGGGCAGGGACAGGCCCCACAGCGCCCAGTGTAGGGCCTGGCGTGTGACACGTGCGCAGGAAATACACGTGCGGTTAAAGAGAAGCATAAGCAAGACTTCCTGCTAGGAGTCTGTTGGAATCTGAAAACGGCGTTTGAATTTCACTTATCTGGGCTCTAACCTGGATGCTGTGATACTGTCATTAATAAATCTGACTCTTAGGGGCGTGGGGGGTTCAGTCGGTTAAGCGTCTTGACTCTTGATTTCAGCTCAGGTCCTAATCTCACAGTTTTGTGAGTTCGAGCCCCACGTTGAGCTCCGTGCTGACAGTGAGGAGCCCGCTTGGGCTCTCTCTCCCTCTCTCTCTGCTCCTCCCCTGCTCACGCTCTCTCATAAATAAACACATTAATTAATTAATTAATTAGGCTCTCAGCTGGTGGATTATACACTTGGCATCATTTGTGACAAACCAGGAGCCCGGCCAGGCTCCCCAAACCCAGTGGGATGCTCTTCCCTCCTTCGGTCCTACTGGGCGAGCTCAGGCCACACCAACAGAAGTCACATCGTGGGTGATGGTGCAGGACACCGCCTCCCGGGCTGGGGGAGGCCTCTGGGGAAGCAGCCTGGGCCTGGAGCTCCGCACTCCGGGGCCAGAGCTGCTACCCTGCCACACAGTGTTCCTCGATCTTTACTAGACACACATGCTGAGCTATTACTTTGCTCATCAAGGAAGCAAGTTGTGCAAAGGGCCTGGGCCCCCTCCACACGGAGTAGAGGGCCTTCCCTGTTCTCTGTGGACAGTCGTGTGACTCTGCCCACTGGGACTTAGCAGCAAGGTGTGGGAGGAAGCTTCCGGGCTGGGAAAGCCACAGGAGCTCCAAGGTTCAGGGCTGCCCGGACCGCTGAGAAAGGCCACCTCTGATGGAAAGCCGAAGGCACGGTACCGGACGAAGTACCTCGGGCAGCCTCCACCCCCTGGCACCCTGCAATTTCCATCTCGCTGCCAGAACCCAACTTGAAATAGGGGCTGATAGAGGAGGGCATTCTGGATTTGGGCAGGTCTGCAAACACCACTCAGCTTCCCCGTCGGCCTTCCCGATGGCCCCTCGTGTGACCTCCAGCGCTCATGCCCGCGTGGGGTCAGCGCCCAGGGAGCAAACGCACTGATCCTCTCCTCCTTGCTCCGTGTGAAGCCCTGAGAGTCAGTCCCCATCAGGTTCCCTGCTGGGGGGACAGGAGCTGCCCGGCGCGTGCCAGAGACAGAGAGGAAAACTTCCAAGTGCACTGACCACCGCGCTTTGCACTTTCCGGCAGGGACCTAGGCTCCGTTTGCCTCCCACTGACACAAATCTCACCGAGTCGCTCGAGTGAGAAGGTTAGGTGAGCCTGGTTCCCTGCCACGCTCATCATTCTCAACCATGCAGCCCGGCCTCAACTTCTCCCTCGCTTTTGTTCAGAATTAGAACTCTATGCCTTCCTGGGCTCAGAACAAACGGGCTCGAAGGCTTTAATTCAGAGCGCGCGAAGCCAACCATAGAGCCTTCCGGGCCCGCGGGTCCCGGCCATACCTTCACGAAGAACATCGTCTTACAGCGCTTGCCTCGGTCGCTCCCAGCCGCCTCCGAGGCCAGCGCTAGGTCAGGAACGCTGCCGGGCCCGGCCTCCGACGTGTCTGCCAGCTGCACGGGCGAGTGGAACGCCCCCTCCTTGCCCCGGCCCAAGGGCGCCTCAAAGGGGTCGGGGTACCTCTCGTCGGGGCTGGAGCCGTCGTCGCTGGCCCTGGCGTTGCAGAGCATCAGGGAGCGGGAGATGGACCGCAGTTTCGTGGACTTCCTGCTCTTCCCGGCACGGCCGTGCGGCTCCATCCTCAGAGAGGAAGTGAGGCTGCCCTTCTTCCTCTCCTGGCCCGCCGCCCTCGGCTGCCGGGCGCTGACTGGACTGGGCTTAGCCGCCGCCTCGTCCGTCCCTGGAGGAGACAGGAAGCAGAAGAAGCCGTGTGACTTGCCAGTGACACGTGGAGCGACGAGAGCCCTGGTACAGAGCCCGCGGGTGCCGTGCCCGGGAGGCGGGGCGGCGGGGAGACCGTCCCGCGTGGCTCTGGCCTGTCTACGTGGCCAGCCAGGTGGGCTGGGGGAACCCGCCCTCCATTCCCAAGATCCTGGAGACCAGGGCTTCTCACATCCAAGCCCTCACTCTGCAGACAGGGAAACTGAGGCACCGAAGCCACAAGGCGCCCTGGTGGAAGATCCGCAGTCACAGGGTGCTTTTGGAGAAGACAGAGGCCCACGCTTTGTGGCATCTGCGCGTCCCACAGCTCGGAGGGCTCCAGGCTGCACAGCAGAGGGGGGAGGGGCCGCTGCCGTGCACCTGCCTGTCCCGTCTCCACCCGCGGGGAGGCCTGAAGCATCTCCAGAGAAAGCCCGGAACCCGGGGCCCGGTCTGCTGTGCGCTGCTGCCTCGGGCCCTCCTTCCCAGGGGCAGAGCCGGGGGGCCCCGCTGGGGGTGTCACCTGGTGCCCACCCGCCACGGTTGGTGTCAGTGTCAAAGAAGGTGGCGCGTGGGAAGGGTCTGCCAAGGTGCGTCGCACACAGCAGGCACTCGGCGAGCCCGTGAGCCTTCCCCACCGGGGCCCCAGCTCCATCCACATCCCCCCAGCCCCCCAGCCCCACCCGCGCCCCAAGCACCGGCTTCTTTTGCGTCATCCGCCAACGGCGTCTCAGCCCAGCCCGGCCCAGCTCAGCTTCACCACGGAGGTGCCTCCCGCGGCTTCAGCTTCCCGGAGACAGGTGGCCAGAGGGGTGCATCCACCCAAACGGGCCCCGACCCAGGCCCGAACCACCCAGCAGAGCCGTCGCCGGGACAGCAGACTGTGCGACCGCTGCTCGTGCCCACCCAGCGTCCATCTCAGCGTTTCACTGAGCACAAGCCCTCCAGAGCCCCGCAGCGGGCTTCCTCTTAAGGGAAGACTGCTGTCAACGCCCTCCCGTCGTATCGGGCTAGTCACCAGCCTTCCCTAGGACCCATCGCATGTGAGCGCATGAAAGAATGCATGCGGGGAAGGGTGCCCTGGGTGCTGTCGCACAGCACTCGACATCAGCGCGTCCCGTCACCCAGCCTCATGCCGGGATCTCTGGGTCCTTCTTTTCCTTTTTTTTAATATTTATTTATTATTGAGAGACAGAGACAGAGCGTGAGCAGGGGAGGGGCAGAGAGAGGGGGAGACACAGAATCCGAAGCAGCTCCAGGCTCCGAGCTGTCAGCACAGAGCCCGACGCGGGGCTCGAACCCACGAACCGAGAGACCGTGACCTGAGCCGATGCTTAACCGACTGAGCCCCCAGGCGCCCCCTGGGTCCTTCTAGAGAGCCCGCAGAGCCAGGCCGTTGCTGAGCCCCATCCTGGCCGTAGGATTCTGAGCCCTGCAGGGGACACCCCGCCCTGAGCAGCCCGGGGCCGTGTGACACGCGTGGTCACCCGCCAGGCCCCGGGCTCCGGACGACAGTTGTGCTGCGTCTCCACAGCCGGCCTGATGGTACCTCCTCAACAAGGACTAGGTGTCCCCCTGTCCCCGTCACCAGCAGATAACGTCACCTCCCGCTTCCTGGAAACACAGACGCTGGCGGAGCGCGATGCTCGCTACTCGCTACCGTCTACAAACGTCTTTGCCGCCCGTCCGTCCACACCCTACACGCCCTTGGCAGCGGGACATCCACCCTCCTGTTGAGGCCGGCCCACCGCCCGTCATCAGGACCCCACTCCCGCAGCGGGCTGGGACACACACAACAAAACAACAACAGCTAATGTGTATCCGGCGCTTGTGATACAGTGAGGTTCCGACTGCACTACTGTGTAGTCCTCACAAAACCTACTCAAGCCCCATCGATATCCTCGTTTTATAAAGACGATAACGGACGCACAGAGAGGTTAAGTCACTTTCCCAAGATCACACAGCTAGGACTCGGTGACAGCGGGAGTTAGACCAGGCGGCGGGACTCTGGAGCCTGCACTTTTCCACGGCGTCACGCGGGCATTGATCACCGTCCCTGTCACGAGCAGGTCACCTAGTCTCTCCTCCGTACCGGCTCTTCAAAAGCAGCGTGCAAACAGCCAGATCATCTCTGCCTTTGAAAAACTACCTGTCGACCCACAGCCTCTCTTTCATCTCTTCTTTTTCTTCCTTTGTCTTCTGTTAAGGTGAGAATACTCACCATGAGACCCGCCGTCTTTTTTTTCTTTTAATGTTTTTATTTATTTCTGAGAAAGAGAGAGAGACAGCATGAGCAGGGGAGGGTCAGAGAGAGAGGGAGACACAGAATCTGAAGCAGCTCCAGGCTCTGAGCTGTCAGCACAGAGCCCGACGCGGGGCTCGAACCCACAAACCGTGAGATCATGACCTGAGCCAAAGTTGGACGCTTAACTGACTGAGCCCCCCAGGCGCCCTGACACCCGCTGTCTTGACAGATTTGTAAGTGTGCCCAGTTTTCCTCGGCACCAGGTTGGCGGCAGAATATTATTCCTTCTTATCTCCCGGAACGGATGGTCCCCACTCCGCACTTTCTGTCCTCAGGCTCACCTCCCCGCGAGCCACGGCCCACAGTCCACTTCCTTCCCCGGAAACCACTGAAACTCTCACTGTATCAGTTCTGCAATTTGCGCCCCAAAGTCGTGAACGCAGGTCCGGAGGACACAATCTGCTGCTTTGTTTTACGAGGAAATTACTAGAACCAGGAGTTCAAAGCTCAGATCTTTTGGCTGAAGGATGCTTTTTAGTGTTTTTTTTCCCCTTCTCATGACTCACCTTTACTTCAGAAGCCACACGTTTCAAGTCCCGGCGGAAAATGCTCCCTCCCTGCCACCCCTCCCCACCCCGCACACGGGAGCTGCTTCAGTTCCATCAGTTCGACCTCCAGCACGAGTAACGCTCAACGCAAACCTTGCCGCAAGTATTTATGTTATGACCAAACTTCTTTGCATTTTGCTTGACCTCATTAGGACCCCCCACAGTTCACCTCAGCCTCATGGAGGAAGGTGTGTGTGTGTGTGTGTGTGTGTGTGTGTGTGTGTGTGTGTGTGTGTGTTGCTCGTAGCCACCCCTGGTCCACCAGGCGTTTGAAAGGCTGAAATAATCAAAGTTTTGTGTTAAAGAGCCTTCTGGGCCTGCGCTGGTACTGAACACGGAGGCTGTAAATATGGAGTGACTGGACCGCTGCGTGAGGAGGGCTGCCGAGAGTTAAGCCAATGCAGACAGCACAGAAGCCACAGAGGTTGATGGACAAGAAGAGAGAAAGGAAGGAGGAGAGAAAGAGTAAGAGTGACACGGAAGAACTCAGATGGTATACTATGAGCACCTGGATCCAGCCATGCCTGATGCCATACTATCTATTTACTTACACAAGCTAATAGACTTCTCTTTTTGCCTAAAAGAAGAAATCCTGGAATGGTTGTTCTTCTCCCTGATACTAAAAGGGAAGCAGTGACACCCAGGGGCCAAGAGGCTTTTTCAAACGTCTTTTATCCCGTCCCAAGTCTAGGAGAGGAGTCAGTCGTCTGCAGTCAAATGGAAACTCTCCCCTCCAGCGCCAGGCTCTGATATAAAAGCCTGTGCATTCTTTGCCACCGAGCTTTGTCACCATCTGCACGGAATCTCGGGCTGGAAACCCAATTCTCTTCCCGTCCACATTCTCCCCCGACCCCCCCGAAGCTCACTCGCTGTGCACTTTCCAGGACACGGACATTCGGGGTCTTCAGGACCAGGTGAAAGGCTGTGGGTTTCACTCACCGGTAGGAAAGCTGGCCGCACGTGGGATTTACGGGAGCAGACGGCCCAGACTCCTCGGGGGACACAGTGCTGGTCCCGCGGACCATCCGCAGGAGCCACACGTGAGTACTGACGGTGTTTAAAACTAAACTTTTCCAGAGGGAACCGTGACTCTCCGCAGCCTTGGCTCTCAAGTGCGGTGGCCGGGGCCGCGGATGGGGGGCCGGTGATGTGCTGGGGGGCAGGGGGGCCTTCGGTCCAGAGCAAAGGCGGTTTTCAAAATGAGCTTTGTTTTCATGGAAAATGTAAAACAGGGAGGGAATCATCGCAAAAGTGTCGTCGAGAAGCGGCCAGAATCGGGCTTCTGTGGGAGATTCCTTCCCTCCGGGCCTGGCGGACAGGGAGAGAGGCAGGCAGGCAGAGGCAGTAATTGGAAACACAGTGCTGGGGTCACGTGGCTCCTCTGCACTTCGGTCATTGTGCGCAGAACCCTGGAGCCGGCTGCTGCTCCTAACGGACCAAAGGTCGGCAGAGCTTGAGGACAGCCCCCCCCCCCCCCGGGACAGCGGCCCATCTGGATGTCTCCACGGACGGATGGATGTGCTCCCTCTGCTTTTGCCCTGGGTTCCAGGGGCACTTGCCAGGCTCTTGTGGGATGTCCTCTGCCCCCCGTGCGTCCTCCCCGAGACGGACGCAGGGGTCTGTTCCAGAGGCTTCCTGGGGAAGCGCAGAGAAGGTTTCCCGCACGGCTACGCCCATGGGACCAGCTGCTTTCGCTGCGCGGCAGAAAAACCCAGAGGATCTGGCTTTGCCCCAGGACAGGGCTCTGCCCGAAGGCCTTGTCCTCCCGTCCGTGAGGGTGCTTGATCTTCCCTTACATCTCCCACGGCGGGCGCTCTGGGGCTGCAGGCTGTCCCCCCACGCACTCGAGGCGGGTGCCCCCAGGCGGGGGTGAGGACTCACGTCTCTCAGCATCCATATAGAAGGTGCACAGCCAGGGGCGCTGGGGGCTCAGTCAGCTGAGCGTCCGACTCCGGCTCAGGTCATGATCTCGCGGTTCCTGGGTTCGAGCCCCGCGTCGGGCTCTGTGCTGACAGCTCAGAGCCTGGAGCTGCTTCAGACT